ATTTCTTCTCTATTCATGTGATCAAGCTGTCCCATTAGAGCCATCACTGTCAGACCCCAATAGATGCCACTCATTCTCAAATATTCAGACAGGCGGTATTCATAATCATCTTTCTTAGAGCCATAGGAGGCGATGTAATCTGCATGTTCAATAACAGAGTGTCAGGTGCATCTGACTTGATAATAACATCCTTTTGTGAAGTGCCCATGTCTATGAACCAACAGCTATTCTCATAATCTTAATTCAAAAACTGTTTCCTTCAGTATCCTGAACTTTCCATCTTGTTCACTATATTTGTTTCACTAAAGATATGTTCTGTAATGGGAAAAGATAATATATCTTTCCAAACTAAATCAAACTACAACCCTCTATATCCATAGGTCCATTCTTTACTACTAGTAGTTCTAAAGATCACATTTGCCATAAAAAAGTAAAATGACCAATGTTTTGGGCATCTTAAACCAAAAAAGATCATTTTTTTCCTCAAGAATTATCACACATTTCCATTTAGTTTATTTTAAAAGATGCTTCTTTCACTCCATGAGATATACCCTCTTAGTAACAAGTAAGTTCTTTCCTTACCAATTATGACTAAGATTAGTGTCATCTAATCCTTTAATTACTGCAAAGGGAGTGGACCTTTCTGACCATGAAAAAAAAAAAAAAATCAATGAGAACAACTTGGCCAATTCATTTACTCAGAGAAAAAAAAGAGCATGATACCTATAACTGAATAAAAGATCCATTAATATCTCCTCTAGTGGCTACAATGCTAAGATTTTTTTAACTGTTTCTGGTGCAAAAAACTCACAGGCTTTTCTATTACAGATTTGAAATTAAATTTCAAAGGGGGTAAAAAAAGCATTAGTGTTAGGGTGGTTGCTTCATAGGTCAGTTGGTGAAGTCTGAATAAAGTCCACAGATTAGATAACTATTATATCAATATTAATTTCCTGATTAATTATACCATAGTTACATGAGCTATCCTTATTTTTTAGAAAATACATATGGAAATATTCAGGCGAATATACTCATATAACATACTCTCAAATAGCTCAGAAAAAAATGTGGGCTCGGTGGCCCTGTGGCTCAAGTGGCTAAGGAGCCAGCCACATATACCTAAGGTGGCGGGTTCAAACCCAGCCCGGGCCCACCAAACAACAATGCCGGCTACAACCAAAAAAAATAGCCAGGCTTTGGGGCAGGTGCCTATGGTCCCAGCTACTTGGGAGGCTGAGGCAGGAGACTCGCCTTGAGCCCAGAGTTGGAGAGTTAGAGGTCGCTGTGAGCTGTGATGCCACAGCACTCTACCCAGGGGGACAGCTTGAGGCTCTGTCTCAAAAATAAAAAAATTAAAAAAAAAAAAAAGAAAGAAAGAAAGAAAATGTGGATAGGTAGACTGATAAGTAAGCAGCTAGACAGATAAGGAAAACGATAAAGCAAATATGATAAAATGTTAATACCTGAGGAATCAGGACAAAGGACACATACAGGAATTCTCTGTACTGCTCTTACAACTTTTTCATAAGCCTGAGATTACTCCAAAATAAAAGGTAAAACAAAACATTTCTGGATACCTCTACCAAAAATTAGGCTTTTTCTGTTGTTGTTGTTGTTTTTGGAGACAGAGTCTCACTTTGTTGCCCTAGGTAGAATGCTGTGGCATCATAGTTCATAGCAACCTTAAACTCTTGGGCTCAAGCGAACCCCTTGCCTCAGCCTTCAGAGTAGCTGGGACTACAGGCACACACAACACCTGGCTATTTTATTTTTATTAGATCCTAACTGTGTACATTACTGCAATTATGGGGTACAATGTGCTGATTTTATATACAATTTGTAATGTTTACATCAAACTGATTAACATAGCCTTCACCTCACCTAATTTCTGTGTTTAGACATTTATACTCTACTCTTAATATATTTGACATGTACCCTTGAAATATGCACAATAGGTGAAGTCCAACCAATTATCCTCCCTCCATCCTTCTACCCTCCTCCCCTTCCCTCGCCCTCCTCCTCTCCTTCTTTCTAGGCTATAATTGCTTTTTATCATTCATATGAAAGTGTGGGTGACTGTATATTGGTTTCATAATAGTACTGAGTACACTGGACATTTTTTCTTCCATTCTTCAGATACCTTACTAAGAATATGATCCAGCTCCATACATGTAATCATAAAAGAGGTAAAGTCTCCATCTTTTTTTTTTTGCAGTTTTGGCAGGGGCCAGGCTTGAACCTGTCACCCCCGGTATATGGGGCCTTGATCCACAGGTGCTGCCCCAAAGTCTCCATCTTTTATGGCTGCATAATATTCCATGGTATACATATACCACAATTTGTTAATCCATTCATGGGTTGATGGGCACTAGGGCTGCTGCCATGACTTGGCAATTATGAATTGGGCTGCAATAAACATTCTTGGGCAAATGTCTTTGTAGTAAAGTGATTTTTGGTTATCTGGATATATACCTAAGTAGAGGAAAGGCAGGATCAAACAGCAGGTCTACTTTTAGCTCCCTAAGTGTTCTCCAAACTTCTTTCCAGAAGGGATGTAACAGTTTGCATTCCTACCAGCAGTGCATAAGGGTTCCCTTCTCTCCACATCTATGCTAACATCTGTAGTTTTGAAATTTTGTTATGTGGGCTAATCTTACTGGACTTAGATGATACCTCAAAGTGGTTTTGATTTGCATTTCTCTGATGATTAAAAATGATGAGCATTTTCTCATCTGTCTGTAGGCCATGCGCCTGTCTTCTTTGGAGAAGTTTCAGTTCAAGTCTCTTGCCCACAGTGAAATGAGATCACTTGTTCTTTTCTCATTAATAAGTTTGAGTTCTCTGTGCATTCTGGTTATCAAACCTTTGTCAGAAACATAACCTGCAAATATTTGAGGTATCTGCTTACTTTAGTTACTGTGTTCTTGGCTGTGCAGAAGCTTTTTAGTTTGACCAGATCCCAGTAATGTATTTTTGGTGTTGCTTCAATTGCCTAGGGGGTCCTCCTCAAAAAACATTCTCCCAAGCCAATTTTTTTTTTGTAGGGCCCTTGGTAGGTGCTGTGGTGTCACACAGCTCACAGCAACCTCCAACTCCTAGGATCAGGCAATTCTCCTGCCTTAGCCTCCCAGCTATTTTTTTTGTTGCAATTTGGCTGGGGCTAGGTTTGAACCTGCCAGCCTCGGTATATGGGGCTGGCGCCCTACCCACTGAGCCACAGGCGCCACCCTCTCCCAGGCCAATTTCTTCAAGAGTTTCCCCTGCACGCTCTCCAAGAATCTTTAAAGTTTCACATCTTAAGTTTAAATCTTTTATCCAGTGAGAGTCAATTTTTGTTAATGGTGAAAGGTAGGGGTCCAGTTTCAGTCTTCTACAAGTCACCAGCCAGTTCACCCAGCACGATTTGTTAAACAGAGAATCTTTCCCCCAATTTATGTTTTTGCTAGGCTTATCAAAGATCAAATGATGGTAACTGTCTGGGTTCATTTCTTTGTTCTCTATTCTGTTCCACACATCTAACCTCTCTAATCTTGTGCCGTTACCATGCCATTTTAATCACTATAGATTTATAGTATAGTCTGAAGTCCGGCAGCATGATTCCTCCTGATTTGTTTTTATTTCTGAGTAATGTCTTGGCTATTCGAGTTTTTTCTGATTCCATATAAAATGAATACTTTTCCATATTTTTTCCAGATTTTTAAAGTATGACAGTGGTGCTTTAATAGTGATTGCATTAAATTTGTATATTGTTTTGGGTAGTATGGACATTTTAACAATGTTGATTCTTCCCAGCCATGAGCATGGTATGTTTTTTGTTGCCATCTTCAGCTATTTATTTTCTCAGAGTTTCATAATTCTCTTTATAGACATTTTTCACATTAGGTCAATTCCCAAATACTTCATCTTCTTTGGCACTACTGTAAAAGGAAGAGAGTCCTTGACTTTTTTTAGCTTGACTATTGTTGGTATATATAAAAGCTACTGATTTGTGAGTACTAATTTTTGTATCCTGAGACACTGCTGTATTCCTTGATCACTTCTAAGAGTTTTGTAGTTGAGTCCCTGGGGGTTTCCAGGTATAAAATCATATCATCTGCGAAGAGTGAAAGTTTGATCTCCTCTGACCCTATTTGGATACCTTTGATCGCCTTTACTTGTCTGATTGTGATGGCTAAGGCTTCCATTACAATGGTTAAATAGCAGTGGAGACAATGGGCATCCTTGCCTAGTTCCTGATCTGAGTGGAAATGTTTTCAATTTTACTCCATTCAATATGATATTGGCTCTGGGTCTGCTGTAAATGGCCTCTATCAGTTTAAGAAATGTCCCTTCCATACATATTTTCTTAAATGTTCTGATCATAAAAGGATGTTGGATATTATCAAAACCTTTTTCTGCATCAATTGAGAAAATATGGTCTTTGTTTTTTATTTTGTTTATGTGATGTAATTTATTTCTAGATTTATGTATGTTGAACCAGTCTGGCTCTTTTTAGAGATGGGGTCTTACTCTGGCTCAGCCTAGTCTCGAACCTGTGAGCTCAGGCAATCCACCTGCCTCAACCTCCCAGAGTGCTAAGATTATAGGTGTGAGCCATCACAACCGGCCTTCTACCAAAAATTTGACACAGTAAGGCTTGAGAGAGTCTTGGCATCTTCATGTTTAAAAAAGTTTTAAGTATTTTCGATACATGAGATGTTTTGGCCTAAGGCATTGGAAATGTGTAGTCACATCACAATGCATAGCTTTCTTCTATCCATACATGAATCAACATAAAATACCAAGAACCACTGCAACAATGCTTCCATAAAAGGATGTAAGATTTGTAACTTGTGAAAGAGTTGTTTACTCTCCATTCAATTCACTTAATATTTACTTATTACTTTAGCATGTGAGAACAAGTTAGAATTACATTATCCTTTACATACTATTGTCTACTAAATACATTTTGAGAACATATGTACTTAGCTACTCTAAATGGCATTCTAAAAGTCTCTTACCTCTGCAAATGCTTGGAGCAGTTTGTTTACTTGAGCAAAAGCCTGTGGAAGAATACCATCATAATTTGACCTTGTACTGAAAGCATGTAACAAACTTTTAGAATCCTGCAGCAGGAATTTTACTGTGGTAAAATCCACTGTATTATTAGCTGGTAACAGAAAATTAAGAAAGAAAAATACGTCAGAATGAGTATGCAACATAAAAATGCTTTTAGAATAATTTTGAAATGTAAGAAGAGTACACATTTACATCTACACACCAATCCTAATTTATCCCTCTGGTGTACAAAGCAACAACTAAACAGATTTACAGACAAAATTCTTCAGTTGATTCTGGCATTCTGCGTTCAGATTCCAGGAGTTCCCTCAACACAGTCTACTTCAAGTTAAAAATAAAGTGAAAGAATTCACACTCATAGAAAAGAGACATCTATCACCAAACGAACGAGTTAAACCCCATAGTTTCAAAGATTGAGTTTGCTTATACAAACTACTATACAGGCATGAGAAGGGTTACATTTTAGTAATAAGCTTGTAAATTACGTACTGTACCTCTCATAATCAACTCAGCTATCAACAAAGTGGTTTACCTTCCATTCTATTACATCAGCCGTTCTCAACCTGTGGGTCATGACCCACAGGAACTGATTAAAGGGCCGCAGCATTAGGAAGACTGAGAACCACTGCATTACATGAAACTTAACATTATATTGAAAAAAAAATGTTATCTCTGTGTGCACAGTAAAATTTCAGCAAAAAATAAACAACCTGGGCAATAGTGAGAAGCTGAGGAAGCCTGAAGAACTTTTTTGCCTATAAATTAAGGTGAGAAAATCTACAAATAGTAATTTCAAGGTCTAACAATTTTCTCTCAAGGGACTAAAATCACTTATATTAAAATTCTCAAACTAGTTACAAAAGATGGTGTTAATTTCAAAGATTTTAAAAGTTATGAACAATGAAAGTAAGTAACTTTGCATTGTCATAAAACACAGAACAGAAAATTTCATTAAGGCAGAATTTTGTATGACAGTTATCAAAATAACCATGCTACAATGTGTTTCCTTTGTTTTTGTTGTAATGTTCACTTTCAGAGACTCTATTATATTCTGCGATATTAGCATGGTTATTCATGGGCACTATGAGTTAAAAAATAAAGAGTTCCTCGGTATCACACAAGAACTTGCTTGTGAAGTCTTCAAGGGTTAAGTAAAATTTTAAAAGTACATTTTAGTAACTAATTTTATAATATTCAGAAACTCTAAACTAATGTGATTGTTATAGCCAAGCCAAGGCTTATCCTTTATCAAATTAAAAAAATCCAGTATTGGGGTGGTGCCTGTGACTCAGTGAGTAGGGCACTGGCCCCATATACCGAAGGTAGCAAGTTCACACCTGGCCCCAGCCAAACTGCAACAAAAAAATAGCCAGGTGTTGTGGTGGGCACCTATGATTCCAGCTACTCATGAGGCTGAGGCAAGAGAATCACCTAAGCCCAAGAGCTAGAGGTTGCTGTGAGCTGTGATGCCACAGTACTCTACCTAGGGTGACAAAGTAAAACTCTGTCTCTAAAAAAAATAAATAAATAAAATCCAGTATTCCTTACAAGAGTATCTTTAGTACTTTTCAGAATCAATGACTAGTTTAAATTCCTATGAGAAAAGAGAGATAAATACACAGATGCTACACACAGGACAGACTGGATTTGAAGAACCTAGCCAATCTCCTGAGGAAGATACAATGGGGCACAACTTCTTTGAAGGGTGTTTCCCCAAAGTTGATTAGATTAAGGCTTATTAATCAACTTATGTGTCTATTAAGGCTTACATCCTTGAATTAATCATTTGATCTCTGTCTTACAAAAATTGCTTACTAAGATTACAAGGAAATAGGAGATAAAAATGAAATCAGTATACCGACACAAGCAAAAAAGAAATCTACATGGATGAAATAGTTGAATGCTTATAAAAGCAAACAATAAAAGTTAATATGGATAACAAAGTCTAACAATTATTAGTCATGTTTCATACAATTTTATATGGATTGATTTAAGGATATGGACTGATTTAAGATAGAGATTTGGTATAAGGACGTTAACATGTGTGATCAGCTCTTCCTCTAAGTGCCCTGAGGTGATCTGTAAAAATGTCTTGCTATTCACTTCACTGAGAAAACCCCACAAAGTCATCCCAGTCAAAAGCTATAAATCTTCCTGTTCACTTTAAGAACACACAGGAAACTGCCCATGCAATATACGAAAAGCTGCCAAGTATCTGAAAGATGTCATTGTATTTTATTTTTTATTTTCTCTATACATATACATGTGTTTATTTGGTTTCCACTTTTTGCCTTTACAAAATTAAAGAGGCTTAAAATTTAATAATAATAATGTTTAAGATAAGGACTAGAAACAAAAACCTCATAAAGAATGAACGAAGATAAATACATTCGGAAAAGAAATCAGATGATTGCTGCAATGAAATATTGAACAACAATAATAACAATGCCAAAAAAAAGTAATATTCACATTGTCAGATAAAAGTATGTCTATCATAGAATGCTTTGATTCTGAGGTTCAGTATGGAGTCATCAGTTAACTTCTTTTTCTTTTTCCCAAAGTCTCAAAGAATAGACAACTAATATTTATAAATAAAAACAGGAGATAATTTCAAAAAACAGATCATGCCAAATCTTAAAGACAATGTAAAAAGAAGAAATACTTCAAAATCATTCTACTTCATCTGGATATACCTGATATTAAAATTGGAAAAAATATATTATTATAAAGGGAAATTACAAACATATTTCACTTATAAATGAGGATGCAATATCCTAAACAACCTATTAACAAGTTGAATTAAAAATTATTGTTCAAATAATGTACTTTGGTCAAAACTAAATCCAATTTATGTGAGAATTAGTCATTGTTTTCTCTTCCTTTCCCTCACCCCCTCCCACCTTTGAAAGATGTCATTTTAAAGCAACAATGTGTACCATTCTCCATATTACAATGGTGGAGTTGATAGGTCAAACAGTGGGGCAGGACACAGGGTCAGTGGCCCAAAGAGTGCTGAATTTTTACTACACATGCTAAAAATACAGGGAGTAATGCTGAACTTAAGGGTTCAGATCACTGAGCATCATATCCCAGGTAAACAAAGCACCCAAGATGCATCTCTGAACTCACAGAGCTCATGGTCACATTAACTCACACAAGAGCTCCCCCTACCACATCAAGATGATCCTTATTGAAAATTGTTCCACAACCAGAAGTGGAAGGGTGTACAGAAGAAAAAATATCCCAGAAGAAACGGAAAAAATAAAAACTTACGCATGGGAATAGATGCAACATAAAATAAATGGAAAAATAGTAAAAAAAAAAAAAAAAAAGTTTATAATTCAACAGCCAAGGATGCTATTGCAAGGCAGTAATATCATTTTTTTTCCTAGCTCAAAATTATCTTATATGTACTTTTATAATCCCATTACATATTCTTCACAAGTCGCTTAAGCATTAGGCATCAAATTCTTCTGGATCAAGGACCAATAAACTGTGCACTAAAGGAATGCAAAAATAATTTTTAGCAGCAGGTACAGTTAGCACATTTTCACTTCTTTCCCTATTGGTTGTTAGAGCTGCCACTTGCCATCACACAGCTGTGGAAAACGGCAACTAGATACCCCATTTTTGAAACTAAACTTGTTTGAAATCACATATAGTTTATGGACTTTGATTTTTAAAAAGAATCAACTAAATTATTCCCCTAGTAAAAGATATGAAAAATGTTTCCACGTTTTATAAAAGTGCTTTGAAGATATATCCACTATGTTGTTCTAAGCCTCTTACATAATGATACCCCTAATACATAACTTCTACAATTAAGGGAAATGCTGGGAAAGTATCTTTCTTTAAAAAATTGGTAACTTTTAAAAATTCATCTAACATCGACCATGTGCAAAATATAGTAAGGTACTGACTAGGTGCTTTAAATTCCATAGAAGAAATTTTTATTTGTTGATTTTTATGATTGATACACAATAATTGTACATATTTATGGAGTACATTGTGAGGTTTCTTTCTTTTTAGACAGAGTCTCATTGTTGCCCTAGATAGAATGCTATGGTGTCATTATAGCTCAAACTCAGCAACCTCAAACTCTTGGGCTTAAGGGATCCTCTTGCCTCAGTCTCCCTAATAGCTAGGATTATATGCATGTGCCACCACGCCCATCTAGTTTTTCTATTATTTTAGTAGAGATGGGGTCTGGCTCTAGCTCAGGCTGGTCACAAACTCCTAAGCTCAAGCCATCCACCCACCTGGACCGCCCAGAGTGGTAGGATCACAGGCATGAGCCCCCTGTGCCTGGCCACATGGTGATGTTTCAATAGATATACAGATTGTATAAAATCGGGTAATTAGCACATCTATTACCTTAAACATTTATTATTTCTTGGTGATAAGAACATTCAAAAACCTCTCTTTCAGCTACTTTGAAATGTGTTATATAATACATAAATGTTAACTCGAGTCATCTTGGTGATAAGAACATTCAAAAACCTCTCTTTCAGCTACTTTGAAATGTGTTATATAATACATAAATGTTAACTCGAGTCATCTTACTATGCAATAGAATGTCAGAACTTATTCTTCCTATCTAACTCTATACCTACTGATCAACCACTCAGTACGCTCCCACTTCTCCCTTCCCCATCCTCTGGTAACCACTATTCTACTCTCCTATGAGAACAGCTTATTTTCAAAGAGTTTACGCTTCAGGGAAAAGAAAAGAATAAGGTACACGTATCACAGAATATGCGTCTCTTCTTTTGTCTCAGCCTCTAGGAAGTTTAGTGTTAAAATCTGTGCTCAAGTGTTATAATAATTGTCTGCATACGTTTCATTAGTATATATCTTGTTCTTTAATACCTGGATTTTGTGCCCTCAAATCTAATTTAATGGCACTCTTGTACTCAGGTTATTTGTTATAAGCTACCCTAGTTATTTTTTTTACAAACAGACTTGATGTAACTAATACATAAAATAATAAACAGAGTTTTTAAAAAGTTAAGAACTAACTGAAGCCCGAACAACAGTTATACTTTGCCTTTTAAAGTTACAGCAAGACAAATCTAGCTTTTTGACTATGGACAAGTTACTTACCATCTCAGGGCTAGTTTCCTTGACCATAAAACATGGTCTTTAATGACAATTAGATCAGTGCTTCTCCACATTTTTTTTTCTTAGCACAGAAACTCTTTTTCTAGTCTTACACAGAATCTCTATTTGGGCTGGAGTTAGGGTAGAGGGCCAAAGGCATTAGTCTTTCTACCCCCAATCTGCAACAGCAGAGACACTTCAAGAAACCCAAAATTCTATTCAATGTATTTAAAAAACCCCCAACTAAGTGGTTCACCATAGTCTCTTCCAGTTCTAAAATTCACTGTGCACCAAAGCTAAATGCGTCCTATTCCTTACCCACATAGTTAGACAGAAACCTTGATATATATACTATTTTAGAAATTAATATATGAAACATGCTTAAAGTTTGCGTGTTAAACAGTGAGAAATGAAAAGAATCTAATTATATTTGTGTACCTGAATACACTGTTAAACACAGTTTTAATAGTTTTCAAACTAAACAACATTAAAAACAATATACTTATAATATCCAGGAACAAGGGGCGGCGCCTGTGGCTCAAAGGAGTAGGGCGCTGACCCCATATGCCAGAGGTGGTGGGTTCAAACCCAGCCCCGGCCAAAAACCACAAAACAAAAAAA